CACTTCTGCAACTCTCATCTCATTTTAAGTTATCGCTATTGCCGCGTATTATGTCTGAGACTTAACTTTAAAGAATTAAATAAAAAATTAATAATTACAGATAAAATGTAACTAAATAAAATTAAAAAGTTAAGAGTCTAAAATGTAACTAAGTTAAGTTAAAATTAATTAACTTTTTAACTTTTTAACTTAACTTTTATCTTTTTAACTTAGCATTACCCAATCCTGCACAAAATAGATTATGTAAGAATTCCACTAAGGCCCAAAAATTGATAATCCAAATATAATTATATTTGATTTTAATATGCCTCAAATTTAGTTCAAGTATATTTTATGTCTGGGCATACCTGGGAATTTAGAAAAATACTGACATTGTACAAGTTGGCAACTTGGGCAATGTCATAACATTTACATATTTACACAATTTATACAAGAAAAATTGTTTATCGGAAAGGCTATAATGAATTTCAACAAGGGATAGCATTTTACGATAGCTATATATAATGCTTATCATTGTTAATGCAGCATCATTGTCAAAATTATATTTTTTTTATGTCAATTATATTTTTAATGTTATAGATAAAATAAGAATTTTATAATAAATATAATATTAAGTGAAATGTATAATAAAGACAAATTCATATATGAATATACAAATACGGCTTTGTTCTAAAATTCATTGTCAGTGCTAAAAATATATAATATACATAAAGTAACTATAGATTTTAAACGCTGGCAATAAATTTTGGAACACACAGTCACAATTATCAGTTTTGTAGATTGTGTTTCAATTCGAACTAGCACAATCATATAAATAATATCAGTATTAAGCTAAATGTCTCAATAGCCAATAAACGTTTAAGCGTTTTTTTTTAAGTTGTAAATTATACAATTTATATTAGAAAAAAGTTTCTAATATATGACCACAATTAGTACGCTGAAATATTATAAATAGATGTTTAATGACAAACATGTTTAAGGACAACTAAATTCAAATTAATCTTTAAGGTAAAAAACATTTGAGATTAAAATATTAATTTAAATAAATAAAGTTCTGTGTAAGTAAACTGTCTAGACATTGGTACTATCCGGTCCCAATGATTGGACATTTACATTTTATTTATTTAAATTAATATTAGTATTATAGTCTCAAATACACTTTTTAAAACGTAATATTACAATTTAATTATAATCTTTAAATGCAATTCAATTATAATACAGCAATAAAAAAAAGCATTTGAGATTAATAATAATAAATTTTATGCATGTATCCAGACATAGGTCTAGTCAGTGGGACATTTATCTTATGCCAGTAAAAAAACATAAACAGAATCGACAGATTTAATCAACAACAACAGATTTAATCAGAAATATTAGCAGTTAACATTAACTGTGACTTTATTCTATTCTGTCGACAGAACCCACACATCAGATTAGTAACAAAAACGAACAGGAGTTGTAACGGCAAATTTTTTGCTTGATCTCTGCTACCAATTTGCAGACATTGTCAGATATTATATTTCACATCTGTATGAAATTTATTGCTTTTTTGCTACAATTTGACAAACTTTTCTTAAAATGTACGAGCTTGGCTATTTGTTAATTGATTATTGCATTAATTTAATAATAATGCTACTATTATCTTAAAAACCTGTAAATATGTAACTTATTGCGGAAAATATTATCTCAGACATAAATTTATAAATTAAAATCTCCCAAAAAATTTAATAAATAATATAATTATATCAGATTAAAGATATAAGATAGATTATAAGACATATTTTCCTTGTACTTATAAGAATTCAAGTACAGAATCTTGAAACAATTACAAAAAATTAATTTATAAATTGTGTAATAATACTTAAAAATAAATTAAGAATTACGATATGGAAAGAATATCATGTCGTTAATTTTTTATTGCAATATATATTTGTTAATACTTTTTTTATTAAACTTAAATTTAATAAAGAGAATAATGCAAAATGTCTTTTTTATTATTTAATTATTTATTATTATTTAATTATTAAATATTAATGTCTCACATTTTTTTTCATTGTTTTCCTAGTTTAACCGGGCCATCGGCGTCTAATTGTTTTTCAAACATTTTTTGGGCTCTAAAAAATTAAAAAAAATGTTGGTAGAAAAAAATTACGTACTTTTTAGTGCAACAACAAATTTTGACAATTCTGGCTCAACTTCGGACACATATAAAAAAATAAAAAACGTATCGATGTAAAACAAATCATATTATTGTAAAATTGTTTTCTTGAAAAAATATACCAAAATTTTTTTCAGATTTTTTAAAACTTAAAAAATTTTTGGAAAACATAATCAGACATCAATGGTCCGGCATTGAATTAGGAAAGCAGTGAAAACTTAAAACATGGAGGTTAATATTTAATAATTATATACTTATTTAATAACATGAAAATAAGGAATTTTTATTTATAAAAAATAGGAAAAAATAATAAAATCGATAATACAAAAAAATTACTTTTTGCACAAAAACAGAATTTTATTTTTATAAAATTGCTCATTTAGAAGGGAGGTTGTTCACATTTCTTCTAAGAGCAAAAGACACAGCGTTTTATCTTATTTATCAGAACGCACAAATATGACTTACAAGAAGAGAGCTAGACTAGTCTGCTCTTCACTGATCTTGATCGAAATAAAAACTAAAAATAATTACATAAAAAGTAACTTTACTAGTCCAACCGGGTCACTGATGTCGTACGCTTAACTTTCAGTCGCTGCATGAAACACGAGTAATGAACTACGGCGTACTTAACTGATAAATCCCTGTTAAATCAACATTTTTTAGGGAGGAGAGCCAATCCCTTCCATTTACTGTCTAACGAATAATTTAAAATTGAATATTCACCTGGATCTTCGAATTTTCGATTGGACAACGAAAAATCAAAGAAATATTACAGTATAAAAAACTAAAACTTAAATTTATATTATCATATTAACAAACACTTGTGAATGTTTTAATCGCGCACTGAAAAAAAATTTACTAAATCTGAGTAAATATTTCTTTGAATAGTTTGAAGTAAACATTTAATTAGAGTAAGTAAATATTTGCTCAATAAAAGTAAATATGATACTTAAATCAAACTAATAGTTTTTGTATCAAATAAATATATGTTTATATTTAATAAATATTTACTTGGAACTATTCAAAATAATATTTACTTAATATAAAATATACTTAATAAACAAGGACATGTAGCTACACGCAGAATGTTTTTTGCGAATGTCATATAGCTATTTAAAATTCTTACATTAATAAAAACAATTTCATAAACGTTTCGGCCCATATCAGGCTATCTTCAGTATGCAACATAAATAATTTATCAATAATTTGTAGTCATAAAAATAAAGGAATTAAAATAAATAAAAATATTTCGTTATAGTCTATGCTTGTTTAAGTTGTCAAAAATAATTTGCCTCCGTTAATTTCCTAATGAGAGATTTATTGAAACATTGTGTGAAACATCAGATTTCCAGATTCTAATTGAAAATAAAAAATCCATTTAAAAGTTACAAAAACTATTTCCTTATTTATACATCCATATTTTATGAATGTATCTATATCTGTGTTTGTTACAATAATTACTTACATTATTCGCTGTCTATACTAAGATTTTCTTTCTATAAGAAATAAAATGATGACCAGAGACGGAAACATTTTTGTCAAAGTTGTGTGATATCTGCAGATGACTTTCAGTGTGTCAGAATTTATATCTATCTTGGAAAGAGAAGGAAGCCTCTAAATGCGGAAACGTTTATGAATTGTGATGAATATGTATATATGTATATATATATATATATATA